GAGAGAGAGAGAGAGAGAGAGAGAGAGAGAGAGAGAGAGATTTGGAGCTAAAATTCCTACTATCTGTGACAGAAGCCAAGCATTTAGTATAATGCAGCCTCCAGCTGCCTGGCACACATAAAAGCTAATCCTCCCTGATGTGATCCACCATGAATGGAGCTCTTAGAATAGTCTCAGATAAAGTTCCAGCAAAGAGGAACTCATGTACAGAAGTCTTTGGGTCAAGGAACCACTATAAGCAAGAGGCAACGGAATCTTGCTTTGTCCCGAAAAACCTCTAACTGCACCAGGAAGTTTCTTTCAAGGGTATAAAATCAGTAACAACAGAGAAAAAAACAGTGGGAAAGGTAGCAACAGGTTGGAGCCAACAGACACAAGTCAAGTCGGTGTGATCTCAGAGGGCCGGACACTGGGCACTGGGGAGCCTGGCACCTTCAGGCTCAGGCACTGGCTCCGCTCAAGAGCTATCCACAAGGGGGCAGTAGAGCCCCAGAGGTCACCCCACGCTCTCTGCTAAGCCTCCTGTAGAAAACAATGTGGGTCTTCCCCAGAAGGGACATCAGGGTCTCGGGCCCTGTGTGGTTGAAGTAAAGCCTGAGACACCACCATTATCACCACCACATGCCCAGAAAATCGGAAGACCCACACGTGACCGCCTGATCATCCAAGACAGAAACCCCCGGTGTCCACAGGAAGGCCCGCACTGGAGAGCCGCCTTCACTGGCTCAGCACTGGCAGCCAGCTTTGCTAACTCTCTCCATCAAGAACAAAGCAGGAAAGGCTCTGGGTATCTACGGGATTACAGACAAAGACAGACCGACCCGCTAAAAGGAAAAAAACGAAAGCAAGCTGCTCGGTGCAAACAGATGGTTCTGGGACCGGAAATTCATTCTTAAAACCCCCACGAGAGGGTTGAAGAGAAGGGCCCAGCGGCCAAAGCACCCTCCATGCAAGCAGCAAGAGTAAGGACTGGAATGCAGCTCCCAAAACCCGTCAGAACCAGGCGGGCGTGGCAGCCCACCTGTCATTCCAGAGCTAGGCATGCAGTCTGGGGATCCTTTAAGTCAGCCGACTAGGTAGAGTAGCAGTCTGGGTGAGCTCTGGATTCCAGGGGGAGACCCTGCCTCAAAGAATAAGGCGGAGAGCAATTGAAGAAGATGCCCAACATCAACCTTTGGCCTCCACGTGCATGTGTCCACAAGTGCACCCCCCCAATACACACACACACACACACACACACACACACACACACACACATGCACAACAGGCATGCACACCACATACACGTTCAAAAATAAAAGAAAATAAAAGTCTTGAGACAGTGAGATGGCTCAGCAGGGAAAGGCATCTGCTACCATGTCTGATGGCTGAGTTTGGGCCTCAAAACTCATATAACGGCATTGGAAAACCAACTTCCGCAAGCATCCACGCGCATCCCATGGTACACAGGCATGTGGATGCACACCCACCCACAAATAACATAAAAGTTAATAATAATCTCAGCAAGTGGTGGAAGCTGAGGTTGTAGTGCTTGCATGGCGTACCTGTGAAGCCCTGGGTTCAATCCCCTGCATGAAATAAAACCAGATGTGATGCCACACATCTGTAATCCCAGTGCTTGGGAGGTAAAGGCGGGAGAATCAGAAGTTCAAGGGCATCCTTAGCTACGTGGCAAATTTCCAGGCCAGCCTGGGGTCTCTGACATGGGAATACAATTTCATAAAGGAATTATTCACAAAACAAAGAGTACCTGGAATTTTTGAGAATTGAAAAGCTCAACAGAAGTTTCAGATGACATACTGGCTGGTTTTATGTGTCAACTTGACACAAGCTAGCGTCATCAGAGAGGAAGGAGCCTCAGTTGAGGAAATGCCTCCATCAGATCCCAGTCTAAGGCATTTTCTCAATTAGTGATGAATGGGCCCAGCCCATGATAGGTGGAGCCATCCCTGGCCTGGTGATTCCGGGTTCTATAAGAAAGCAGGCTGAGCAAGCCATGGGAAGCAAGCCAGTAAGTAGCTCCCCTCCATGGCCTCTGCGTCAGCTCCTGCCTCCAGGACCCTGCCCTGTTTGAGTTTCTGTCCTGACTTCTTTCAGTGATGAACAGCAATGCTGAAGTGTAAGCCAAATAAGCCCTTTCCTCCCCAACTTGCTTTTTGGTCATGGTGTTTTGTCAAAACAATACAAAGCCTAACAAAGACTGATGATAAAGTTGAAAAAAAAAAAAAAAACTTTGCAGAACATAGAAGGAAAGAGCTTGGGGGGGTGGGTGGTGAGGGTTCAGTCAGTTCAAGAGCATCAACATCCAAACAGTAGGCCTTCCAGGAAAAATAAAAGAAGAAAGTGGAGGGAAAGAAATGGCAACATAATTCCTTTCCAGACAGGCCCTCTGGGGACATGGGGTACCGGTCCCAAGGTGACCTAAGTGAAAGTGTGTCGTGTGGCCATAGCATAAGATGGAGCACCAAGGATGGACAAGAACACACAAGTGCCATCTCACAGCGAACTGGAACAGCTCTGAATTCAGCAGCAGCCCTGGAAGGCTGGACCCAGTGAGAGGAAGAAAGCATGACCAGCTATGATGGGTTGAAGGCTTACATCACTGTAGCAGAATATTTGAAGGTGTGTTACTTTTGTTTATGTTGCATTTGTTTAACTCTGTGAAGCTGCATTACTGTGCCCGTCTAAAACACCTGATGGTTTAATAAAGAACTGGCCAATAGCAAGGCAGGAGAAAGGATAGGCAGGGCTGGCAGGCAGAGACGAATATATAGAGGGAGAAATCTGGAAAGAGAACAGATCAAGAAGGAGTCAGAGAAGGAGGAGGAGGACTCCAGGGGCCAGCCACCCATCTACACTGCCAGCCACGGAGTAAAAAACAAAGAAAGGTATTTAGGAATAGAGAGGGAAAAGCCCAGAGGCAAAAGGTAGTCGAGTAAGTTAAGGAAAGCTGGCTAGAAACTAAGCCAAGCTAAGGCCGGACATTCATAATTAAGAATAAGCTACCATGTGTGGTTTATTTGAGAGCTGAATGGTGCCCCCCCCAAAGAAGAACAAACAACAACACATCACCCCCAAATTCAAGTGCTGAAACTCTAGCTCCGACATGACAATGGAGGAGTTGGAGGTGATTTCCTTTAGAGGAGGTCCTGATGGGATTAGGCCCTTATAAGGAGAGGAGGTGAGACCAGAGTCCCGTGCCTGCCACCATAAGGACACACCAAGAAGATGGCTTCTGCAAGCCAAGGAGAGACTAGGCCGGCAGGTACCCTGACCTTGGACAGCTAGCTTCCAGGGAGTTCTACCCCTCTCAGATCGGGCTCTTTTGTTGTGGTAGCCTGGGCCGGCTGACACACCAAGCTGGAAATCAAGGCTGTGTCATGCCAGCTGAACTTTTCACACATGCAAGTCCAGTTCCCCCCAATCACTTCCTGCACCCCTTTCCACATTCCCCATGTAATGTGAGAAGTTAAGACATGAACATAGTAAGGGGCACAGGAGCCCATGAGGATAGGAAGAGAGAGACTCAGAGGATCAAGCTCAAGATTGGAAGGCTAAGACAACAGACCCGAACGACCAAACAGCAGGACAACATGTGTGTACCGTGAACTTAGACTTGGATAAATACGAAGTTCACAGTGACATACAACTTGTGCTGAGTCACAGGGTCGTGAGGGTATCGGGATGAGGAGAGTTCTAGCCAAGCTGCACCAGGGACGAGGACAGGGAGCGGTACCCTGTGTCCCTTGGCCATTCTTACCTTGTCATCGTCCTCACAGGTCATCACGTTGGAGAAAGGGATCTCAGCTTTGAACATTTTCCGGCAGTGCATGAGCTGCACCAGCAGGTAGCAGACAGTCTTGAACTTCATCCTCTTGGCTGGTTTGATATCCGAGAGAATCAAGCCAGGAAATATCTATCCAAAGACAAGGGTGGGGGAAGATATGGTCAATGAAGCAGATCTTGACTCTCGGGATGGAAACGTGACCTTAATAGTGATAGGAACTACAGGGCACCGAAATTAAGTGGCCTGGTACCTCCTGCACGCCAGGCATCCAGAAATCTATGTACTCCCTCTCATGTGAGCCCGCACTTTCAACTAAACCAGTACCTTCACATGAACAGGCCCACTCACCTAACCCATCACCCGAACCAGAACCCACACCTTCAAGAGAACCATCTCCCACCTAAATCATCATGTGAGGACCTACCTATATCTGAGCACACACCCTCACCTGAGCACACACCCTCATCTGAGCACACACCCTCACCCGAGCACACACCCTCACCCGAGCACACACCCTCACCCGAGCACACACCCTCACCCGAACACACACCCTCACCCGAGCACACACAGCACACACCCTCACCTGAACACACACCCTCACCTGAGCACACACAGCACACACCCTCACCTGAACACACACCCTCACCCGAGCACACACAGCACACACCCTCACCCGAGCACACACCCTCACCTGAACACACACCCTCACCTGAACACACACCCTCACCTGAACACACACCCTCACCTGAGCACACACCCTCACCTGAGCACACACCCTCACCCGAACACACATCCTCACCTGAGCACACACCCTCACCCGAGCACACACCCTCACCTGAGCACACACCCTCACCCGAGCACACACCCTCACCTGAGCACACACCCTCACCCGAGCACACATCCTCACCTGAGCACACATCCTCACCCGAGCACACATCCTCACCCGAGCACACACCCTCACCCGAGCATACACCCTCACCCGAACACACACCCTCACCTGAACACACACCCTCACCTGAACACACACCCTCACC